GTCTCTTGAGATCAGGGGAGTGAGGTTTTTTACCTTGCACAGCACCTACTCGCTGGCCTCCGTTACACTCACCCCCCAAACCTCACTCCCATCCGGGTCACGGCACCAATGTAACCCCTCTCTACCGGGTCCTCACCGCCACACCTCGTTCTTGTTCCGAGTGGGTCTCCGGCATGGGAGGCGGACGCACTAACAAGGAGGCACTAACAAGGAGGCTAAAGACTGCAGCCCCTAGCGTCAGTCGCTAGTGCGTCTCTTGAGATCAGGGGAGTGAGTAAAAGTTTTTTACCTTGCACAGCACCTACTCGCTGGCCTCCGTTACACAAAGTCACATGACTTTTTCAATGCGCATGGTGGAATTTATTCGGTAAATGTGTTTCCATCGTAGTTTATGCACATTTTTTGTTATCTGATAAAAAGTTTATCCTACTCAGTTGTGCGCATAAGTTTTTTATGCGCATTTTTAAAATGTATGCGCATCGTGGCGTTTCCATCCAGCGTTTTTTATGCGATATTCCAAAATGCGATATTCCAAAATAAATAGGTGGATGGAAACATAGCTATTGGTTCTTGTGTCTTGTGACATCGAACATGTGCCAATGACGTGAAAAAATTAGCAAATGCAAATGAGATTAAAGAGTTTTCAGAGAATAACGACTTAAATTTTTGACATTTTTGATTTGGACAGACTCCATTGACTTGAATGTCACCAATGCGAGAAAGACATCTCAAGACGTGTTGAACTTGGAAAAATGTGCAAATGGAAATTAGATTTTAGCAATTTAGCGCATAAAACTATTGTATGACTTCAGAAGACTTGGAATATAGCATATTGACTTGAAGTTACTACATTTTTGTGGCGCTTTTATTTTGTTGGACTTGAGGATGAGCAAATCGTATATGAGTTTAATAATCTTTGAAAGCGAATCCCAGACATGCTCACCAGTGCAGTAGCGTCCGTTGGGCGCCAAAGCAAATCCAGGTTTGCAGATACACTTGAAGCTCCCGTCTTCGTTTATGCACATGCCGTTGAGGCACATGTTGGTGGTGGCACATTCATCATGATCTAGAAGACAAGAAAACGCTCTCAATGTTTCTGAAAATACACTATAAAACAAATGCTGGATATTCAGTTGTTTTCTTGGACTAACTGTATTCATCTTAAATTATTAATTAAAAATGCTTATGTTGACCTTCTGACACCCTCCACCCACCCCAAACTCCTTAAAGAGATTTATAAAGCATTTTAAACCATTGTTAAATATTTTATTGCAGGTTTTATAGTGTACAACCGAATAATCAGCAAACAAACAGGTGAAGCATCTAATTTTGTGTGAAATTTAAAAACAAAAAGTGTAAAAATATGTAAAATACATATATTAGGCAGTTAAAGTCGCAGTTTAAGCGCTTACCGACGCAGTTCTTCCCATCAGGACTGATTTCAAAGCCAGCATTACAGATGCACTGGAAACTTCCATCTGTGTTCACGCAGCGTCCGTTACGGCACATAACGCCGTTCACGATACACTCGTCAATGTCTGAAGCAACAGGAACAGATTAGTTACAGGTGTCCACCAGAGGGCGCTGGGCTGTGTGAAGTGAAGTTCTGCTGACTTTCACCATCACATTCATTGTAAATTTATTATTCACGGTGAACTGTGCCATTTGAGTGCTGTGTGTGCAGGATGCTGAGCACAGTCACATTATTTGGAAGTTTTGCTTCTGTTTAGTGTGTCATGCAAAATAACTTAAAATATTTTAAAATAAAGCTGAAATGAAATAAAATATAAATATTTGATTAAAGACTTAAATTAGAAGTGTTGACTTGGCAAAAATAAACAAAAAAATAAATAGATGTTGACTTGGAAACTAAATAAATTTTAGTTGAAGTTAAGGTTGAAGTATAGTTTAAATAAATTCAAGCTGTAGTATTAAAATAACTAAAATTAAAACAGAAATAAAAATAAATTAAAAGCTATATATAAATACTTAAAAATGTATAATATATATAAAAATATAAATATATTTTTAAATGTAGAAAAATTAAAAAAATACATAAGAAAATTATTAAAACAAACTAAAATGAAAATGAAAACTGAAATATACTAATAGTAATAAATTCAAATTTTCATGGGACCCATAACATTACATTTTGCTAAAGAATGAAAAATTATGCATTCACTGTCTATGTAGCATTTAGACTTTTTTTGGAGTGTAAAATTGCTTAAAAATAAAAATAATAACAAAACATGAAAAACAACAAAATAATGAACAGACTTTTAAACTTATACTATATATATATATATTGTTTTGTGTTTATATAATGTAATATAATATAATAATCTTGCTTCCATTCAAATTTTAATGGGTCATATGTAATTAAATTAAATTTAGCTGTAATTAAAATATTATGCATTTATTTTTTTTAATTGCTTAAAAAATGAGAAAAATAAAATAATGATAATAAAAAAATTTAAAATAATATTTTGGTCATGGAGTACAAGACTGTAAATTATAATGTAATGATATTTCCTACTTTAAAGCTGTTTTTTTAGCCATAAAGAATTTTGAATGTAAAAATGTTAGCATTAAACGTGTTCTAGCCCTACAATTAGAAACTAAAGAAATGCTTTTGGCATGAAATAGAATAATATCATGCCACACACCAATGCAGGCCTGTTTGGTGGGAGTTCCCTGGTATCCCTCGTGACATTTACAGTGATACGATCCTTGTGTGTTGACACAGTCTCCATTCACACAGGGGTTACTGATGCACTCGTCCACATCTGAGGGTAGAAAGCAGACGTATGAGAGACCATTAACACTATTAATCAATAATATGTGTTAAAATATTGACACAATCTGCTATGTTTATAACCCTGAGGCCTGTGGAAGTCAAGCAAACCGCCTACAGATGGCAGCATTTCAGACCATGTCAACATTAAAAAAAACAGGCTTTTCTTGACTTTCACTTAAAGATGAATGCACAGGTTTACCGATGCACTCCCCGCGCACGTCCTGCCTGTATCCCATGTTGCATTCGCAGCGGTAGCTGGTCGGCGTGGGAACGCAGCGGCCGTTCAGGCACAGGTTGGTAAAATGCTTGCACACGTCAATCGTCGTCTCGTTCAGCAGGCCTGAGCACAAACAATAAAACACCATCGATTTCTTAGCTTCGGATTGTTAGTTGAAGGTAAAAACTGGCAACTTCCACTCACTGATCTGAATCTTCTGGCCGCCGTTGCCGCCATTGCCGTTTCCGATGGTGTGATCGCCGCCATAAATGTAGCCGCCGCCGTTTCCGTTGTGCGAGGGACCTTTGCCGTAGCCGCCGATGTTCAGACCGCCGTTGCCGTCGTGGATGATGCCGCCGTTACCCGTGGCAAACGGAAGCCTC